TACCGCCGCGCGATCACAAGACTCGACGTTTACGTTTTGGTTAGTCCGTTCGGTTTTGCTGCTTATTAGACAATGCACAACGATTGAACGCATGCACGTAGACACTTCACCGCTCTGGTCACCTCTTCGATTTAAGTGTGTGTTTCCTTAGTTAATTTATTTGTAATAATTTAATCACCTTTCTTTTCTTGTTTGACCGTCCGTTCACAATTCTCAAGTACCGTTTTGCGCCAAGTTCGCTACTATGTTCGCGTGTATCGAGTTCAACAGTCGTCAACTAACTGCTCGTCGTCGTCACCGACAATTGCTGATCACTAGTACTGGAGCTGGAGCTGAACGGAGCTGGCTGCTGTCGGTTTTGCTATCTGCCGCTGACGTCGTCGTAGTCGTTCTCGTTGCTGTTGTTGGTCGCTGTCGGTATTGAATGCCGTTAATACGTATGTAAATATTTAGGTACAGCTGATGTGTTGCCTGATCGACATTTCGGAAGTTGGCCTAAAGCACCGCATAAGCGTTGTGTTGTGTCTGCGCCGGCGATAAGAGTGACCAGTTCATAAATCTTTAGGTGCGCGAGTGTTTTGCTGATATTATCGGGTACTCTATAGTGTCGGTGCTAAGCACATGCAGAATATTTATTGCATTTCAAAATATTATCTACCGAAGTTTAAAAAAAATCCCCTCACGCGTTGAAGTTAAAGGTTTTGTAGGTAGCAATTTGTCAAAGATGTAGGGGGAAGACTAGATAGAAACAACTAGACACTTACTCCCCCAATATTCATCTTTTGACAAACTTAAGTTGAATCACGCCAATTGGCTGGAGTAGATATTAGCGGGTTCAATAAATTTGTGGCTACCTATGGTCGCATGAAGGCCGTAAGCTCGCGAAAAACCAGCTTATTTACCTAACCTGTAATTTTATTTGTATTTTTACACTTAATAACATACTTATGTATGTAAATCTGTTAAAAATTTGAAAGTCGAGGGCCTTCGAAAAATCGAGCCTTTGACATTTTTTTCTGGGAATATGGAATTGGGAATTAAATTTCTTCTTTCAAGCAGATCCGTGCAATAGCATCCGTACCATTATCATCCAATTGGAAAAATACAGTTTACAGACCGACCCAAATGCCTTGACATTAAAGTGGATCCCGTTCCCACAACAGTCGGGTCTACGTAAGCGGAATGGACACGGATGTTTATGCGGTCAAGGACTGTCAACACGAAAATTTCTGCCGCAACAACAACAAAAATACTACAATCAAATTAATAATGTTTTTAAATTCCTAAAATGTACTTTAAATCAAAAAAAATTATCGATTTTTTTCTAAAATTTAGACTGAAACATACCCTTAAATGAAAAAGCAATTGCTATTTTCCTGAATACCTCAACACTAACATTCCTAGTTTTTGGTTCCAGGTTACATCTTTTGTCTACAGTCATGGAGTCGCATTGGTTTCGAAGCTTAGCTAATAAATGGTCCTGATACAAGTTCTCATAAGAGCAGCTATCAATTTAATAGCAAGAATAGGCAGATCTACACAATTGTGATAGGTCCAGTATTTACGATAAGGGCAGCTGTCTGCTGGTTGTCGCGCTTCTTGTTCATTTCCCAAGACTACCGGAATTTAACCGGATTTTATCCGGCCAAGGGCTGTCATTTCGACGATCTATCCCGGTTTGGATTGGTAAGGAATATTTTTTTGAGTCTTGTTGCTCTTGTTATAGACGCAACATGCATCTCTAAAGTAATTTGCTGCCGAGTTATAAGTTCTTGGCTGGGTAAAATTCATGTTTCTACCAGTTACGAAGAATTGACTGCTGCAAAAACGGAAGTGAGGTCTTTCTCCAGTTAATCCTTTTGATTCGAAGAAAACCGTTACAGGTTATTTAGATTTCATCGTATTTCATCATTCATGGTTCACACTCGAACTTCGTATTTTTTACGAAGGAAGTTGTATTATGTTTTTAATGATTTCATATTCACTTTTTCTACTAGTTCTAACATGATGTGGTTGTTGTTGTAGCGGCAGAATTCTGTTTTTGATCGTAAAAAAAAGCCGGATAAAGAATCCGGGTCTGTTCCGGTTAAGTAGACCCGTCTGTTGTGGGAACAAAGTTCTGCCATGATTAAGTCATACCATCACGTCATTTTACTGAGAAAACCGGAAATATGTTCATATATTGTAAAAATATGAGAGAACATAAAATAAAATTTATTAAGAAAATAATAATTTAATTTAGCTGGTCACCTTGTTTTATATGTATATGTATGTATACATCAGGCATTCATACAAAAGCGCACATTCACAACAATAAGTACATGTACATGTACGAATGCATGTATGTATGGATTTAGGTACATACCTCTTTTTCCGGCGCAGCCAAGTGCTTTCGTAATAAGTTCCCTTATCCAAAATTCGCAATCGAGCAGCGTTTAGCCCGTTTCAACCCCCTTCAGCGAGCGGCCAAAGGTGGGAATGCGCGCGCAGCAGCTGAGGCTCTTCATTTCAATAATGAATGACGAAAACAAAATAAAAACAACTAAGCCGCACCAATTAAATATGATAGACTGTTGGCAAATAAATTTAAAAAAACACAAACTGCACAAAGATTTCACTATAAACTCAAGACATTAACACTTTAGTATATATTTATGCATAAATTGCATTTGCAATTCCTTGGTCTACAAACCGCAAAATAAACTTTTAAAAGTGAAACCAACTGACGTTTAAATATTTGCTGTTGTTGCACATAACATACCGGCGCACTTTAGTTAAATGAAAACAACAACTTTATTACCCACACAACGCTAGTTGATAATCCACGCTTTTGTTGGTGTTGTTAACCTCTTCAAGGATCACTGATTGTCAAGGTGACGGCTTTCAATGTTATCATATTCGTCAGCAGTTGTTGCGCATGCAATCGATATAACGCTTATACGCCGCACTGGCGGGCAGAATAACTGCTTTTCAAAACAAGTTTTGGTTTCCTATAAAATTTTGTAAAACCATCGTACGCCCATTGTGTAACAAACAAAACAAACAGCTGCAGTTAAGGATTTACCGTCATTAATGAAAATTAAAGTAGTCACACGTTTTTTGGAACTCGATTCGAATTTTTTTAAACATATAAACAGTTATTCACTAAATTTTGTAATAGATTTAATTAATAACTATTTTTCTTACTGCTCACTTCGTGTTGATATCTTCTGTTTTGCTCTGCATACGATTCGCCGCACAAAGACAACTGAGCCGAGACAAGCACCACGTGCGGCAAATATGGTATTTATTACCAGTGTGTAGGAAAATAATTGTAAGCAATTAATAGCGGGATTCTGTAACCAGTCTCTTGTCTCTATTTGAGACATTTTGTAGTAAAATCTCAATTTGTGACTAGTTACTATTCACTAAACAGTTTCTGGCTTTAGTCTCAAAATATTGCCTCAAATTTGAGACCTGGTAGTTAGAAAGTCACAAAACTAAAACGAACTCATGACTGCCATTTTGAATATACTGAATAGAGATCACCATCGATATTAATCGATTGGCGTTTTCTTATATTTTGTAAGCAACTGAAAAACGAAAAGGTTAAAAATAAATAAATTTTACATAAATTTCGTTATCATTATGAAACAAAGTCAATAGATACTCTTATTTTTATTGATAATTATGTTTTTTGATTATATTATAGAAAATTTAATATTTGTTTTCGACATATTTATTTTCATTCAAGTGTAAAAACATCTCTAAATAATGAAATATAATGCGTAAATGTGTAGAGTTTATGACTATCACTTATAGAATAGCAAAATCGTCTCAAGTCTCAAAAATTTTCTCTGTCAAATTTAAAGAAAAGAAATTTAAAGATACTGTATCACAGTACATAATCGCATGGTAAAAATAAATTATAAATGATACGGGTTTCAGCTGAAATATTAAAATATTAAATTGGTGTCGTAGTTCCTGATTTCAAAACTGGCAAAAGTTTCATTCTATTAAAACATGAATATTTAAATTTTTAATGTACAGCTTGTACATTAATCAATTTTCCTTCTCGTGATTATGTGACATAAATGCATAAAAGTTACGAAACTGCAAAATGCGGAAATTAAATTGATTGAACTTTAAAATTGCCATTGAAACACACAATCTTTGATATTAAATTTTTGTTATTTCTTATGTTATAATAAATAAATTTAAATTTAAAAAAATAAAAAAAAAATAAAATAAAAATTTAACAAAAACCCCACTGAAATAGTTTTAACTATGTATTTTTGTATGGCAACCTCTCTTTGTTGTTTTCTTTTACACTAACTTTCATAAACCGATTTTCGCCTCGCTTTTGGCAAACAGCTATCTGGCAACTCTACCTAAGAAACAGAAGCAGAAAACATAAAAAGGGCCAGGATAAAAGTGTGAAAATTTTCGTGAAAATTTCATTTTGTGCGCTACTTATAAACAAATACTGTGCTGCGTATTTTGAATTATTGTACTCAATGATTCTAATGTTTACAAAATGAAACTGACAATTAAATCATGGACTGGCGTAGCAACTTGGCGATGGATCGCAAATGATGAAAATTGCGGCATCTGTCGAATGTCTTTCGAGAGTAAGTGCCGGAGCACCATTTATTAAATATTTAATATAAACTTTATGCAAACAAAACCACATAATTTTCATATATTTTTATAATAGGTACCTGTCCGGAGTGTTCGCTACCTGGTGACGATTGTCCTTTAGTGTGGGGCGTGTGCTCACACTGTTTTCATATGCACTGCATTGTTAAGTGGTTAAATTTGCAAACTATGAATAAGCAATGTCCCATGTGTCGCCAAAGCTGGAAATTCAATATACATTGAGCAAAACCAACACTTGCTTATTTGCAAAAGTAAAATAAAATAATAATAATTTCGTAAAAGTCATTATAGAGTATTATATGCGAGTATAAAGCGCGAATAAAATCAATAACAAATTTATATAGATATCATTAATATAAAAAAAAAAACACGATATACACATGAGATTAGCAAAGGAACGTTCACGTGAGCGTGAAATGGATAGTGAATTGAATAAATTATGTTTGCCGGGTTTGCCGCCACTGCCAAAAAGTTTGAGCACAGCAGCTGCTGCAGGCGTTTCGTCGGCCGCCTCCTCAGCAACGCACTCAAATACAGCGTCACCGTTAAACAACCATCATCAGCATCATCATGCATTGCACGGTGTCGAGAGTGTGGATCTCTTTTTGGGACCCTCAACATCGGCGGCCGCCACGCGTAATCACTACCGGCACGGCAGTCTATCGTCTACACAAGAGTCATTGAGCGATCGTGAAAGTATACACAGTCGCGCCTCTTCGTCGCACAGTAGTCATCATACGCCTACAAATACCAATACTGACAATGGTGGCACATCAATTTCGTTTAGTGGTGGCAGTGGCAGCAGCACAACCAGTACATTGGATACACAACTAGCCATATTGCGTCGTGAAATGTATGGACTGCGTCAGTTAGATCTTTCTTTACTCTCACAATTATGGGCACTCAACGAATCGATTCAGGGATTTCGTGTATTTCTACAAGAACAAGAAGCGCTCTCACCGCCATCACCCTCGCCAACGCCATCTGACACAAATTCGCTTACATCAGAGGCGGAAGAGGAATCATATTCAGCGCAACCATTAAAATTACAACATCCCATTGTTGCACAAGCAGCATTACCACCTGGTGGCTCGACAACATCACACGCTTCAACAAGTTCAGCCTCTGGCACGTCGGGCTCCTCATCGGCTACCTCTTCGATGGGTAAGCATGGCGGTATGCCATTACCGCCAGCACCACAAAAGACACACCCACAGCTGCCACGTATACTGCAGCAACGTATGCGTCGCGCACCGCCGCCACCGCCACCAACAACACGACCCAAAACGACTAGGGACGCAATGGCTGCAGCCAATGGCACAGCTACGACACCGGTGCCACAAAGACCAGCATGACAAAACCCATTCTTGGATTAAGCATTCATGCAACGTAAAGTGTTTGCCTAATTCAAGAATGTCGCTCTAAACATAAATTTATAGCTCGTAAACTATTCAAACGTTTGTGAGTGTAGTACGTGTAGGCTTGTTGCCATTTGGGAATAGTCGTGCAAGTCGTAGAGACAAATGTTGTCAATTATGTGTTGCGATGGTGTCGCTATGTAGGATGAAAAACTGACACGTAGACGTTGAAGCGCAATTATGAATAACATAATCAAAATATATTCAGTGGATTTAATGTTTGCGTTTTTCGAAAGTGTATTTTAGACGATTGTAAACGGTAAACATTTGCGGTAGAGTTTAGCGTTTAATTTTAAAAATTATAACGCGTTTTATTCAGTGCGTTCCATACAGTTGTATCTAGTAAGTAAGCGCGTAAGCTAATCAAAATGTAATGAATGAAATATCGGTGTCGTACTGTACACATATTCCCAAATATTGCTGTTAAAGGGTTAAAAAACAAAGAAAATGTAACGAATTGAATATCAAACTTTACATATACGAAAACTATTGATTAATACATATTGCTATAAAGTCGGTTTAAATATTTTCCACTATACACAAACTCACATACACAACCCACATGCACAACAACAACGTGAAAGTGCACACATCTGTAACCAAAATACACTTTACATCCTAACACCACGCTGCATTTACGCATTGAAGGGTGTTGTGCCAATATGCGATGTCGTTATTCACTCCACTCCATTGTAGCCCTTGGTGGTTACATTTAACGAAACAAAATTATACTAGGAACTATGACGAAGATGATATACAAAAACGATCTTAGCTGATTTTAGCCCAATACATACCATAAATAAACCTAAACCGAAGTAGTACTAGACGTTCAATTTATATTCAGAAATTGCAATCATTTATATAAATTACATACATAAATAATAAACCGCTGCACAAGTCGACTTACAACTTGTTCCAAATTATTCGTTTCTTTAACATAACACTGCAATGTTCCTTGTTCTCAATGCATGTGCGCTGAACAGCGTAAGGACATTGCGGTAAATGTTATCAAACAATGTTAATGCAATAGGTCACTCATTGCTTCTGAAATATCACGTGCACTTGTGCAGCTGTTTAATAAATAATAACGAATCAAGATCATCATTAATGCATATACATTTATGACGTATTACATCGATCTAAATATTTAAATTAATTTATAAATAATAAATAAAATTGCAACATACAAGTAAAGCGAGAATTATAGCTGTATTGTAATCCGCATTAATAAGCGTTGTCAAGTTATACAAAAAATAAATAAATGCTAAATAAAAAAAAAATAAATAAACGCATTCGCATACATAAATGCATAATAATATTAAAGAAAATCTACTTTGAAAATAAGCTAAGCTAAAATAAAACTTGTTCTCGTTCAATCGTTATAATCAAACTCCTATTATAAGAAAATCTACTCCACTAATTTATACTCGAACTATTTTCCTTATAAATATACTGGTGGTGGTTAACAAGCGCCAGTCGTGTGAAGCATATGTATGTTGCTTTAAAGAAATTATGTTGTAGCGGATTTTCCTAGAACGCAGATATACCTAATATAAAATTGTTTCTAAGCGTGTAATTGTTTTTACAAGCACTCAAACTTATACATTTTCTCCAAATACATTGATTTGTAAACATGTTTGAATTTGAATCACACATATGCATATTTACTACATACTAAACCTATTATAACTTATTAAATTATAAAATGCAGAAATGGGAAGAAGAGAAACGTTGATATGAATTATGCAATAAATTATTAAACAAAACGAATTTTGTGTATTATTTGTAAATGTCTAGTTGTAAAAAGCACCGGTTTTAAATGTCAAATTACTTATATGTTGTTGGTGCTGTAATGCAGCGAATCGCTACTCTCCCATGCATGGATTACTGTTGTAATGTTGATTGTGAATTGGAAGCGTATCTTTGTTTTGATAATTTTTCACACTATTTGATTACATTACATTCGCATTTTAGTTAGAAGTACCCAAAAATTATTTGTCAATAAAATTTACTTCACAGCTGATTATTTGAAGTATAATTATATGTGTAGTTTTATTTTGTTCTTTATTATTATTATTTTTTAATGCTAAACATACGCCATTCACTACAAATTTCCAGACTACGGTCATAAAATGCAGGGTAGATATTTATTCAATACTAAAATTCAAGGGTCCATAAATCAACCTCACAAGGCAGCAGCCAATACGTGGCGTTTGACTAATAAATGCAGTCGACAAAAGTTAAGTAGACTATTGTTAGATTCAAGAAGCAAACGCAGTATTGGTGCAATAGGACATGCACTGCTCACTCTAAAATAATTTTTGCTTCCTTGCCATCGATGTAGACTTTTAAACCGTTGCGCAGACAGAAATCACGTTTGACATGCGCAAACAGCAAGTCTGTCACTAGGAATATCTACAAGGCATTGAAAATAATATAAAAAGTATTTTTTTAATAAACAAAACATCATTAGCTTACTTGTCCTGTAGAGAAAGCTAACGTTGTGCCAAAGTAAAAGTTAGCATTCGCCGAGCCGGAATAAATCCATAATTGCCACAGCGCTGGCATCATTGATAAGGTGACCACGAAAAAGCAGAACACCACAAAGTTATGCGCCATAACTGTGTATTATAATAAAGTAAATTTGTTTTACATTCTCACAAATGAATGAACGTTAGCACACTTACACTTCCAGCAGCGACGCCACAATGGTAACAGAGCCAAATGGAAACTAACATCACCAACACTAGGATACGAACGGAATATAGACATTAATGCAATGAGAACTGTAGCTAACAACAATGGCTCTTTGCGTAATTTCAGCGATAATGGCACAAGGTAGAGGACGGTGGCATTCATTTGGAATGTGATTAGAAACATTGTGCGAAAGTGCTCGAACATTTCCGTAAAGAAATACCAGAAAAGTCCAATATTTGGTTGTAAATCACGGTAGAAGAAACTAATAGAGTAGAAAAGCAAAAAAAAAAAAATTAATTATTACTTGTGACAATAAAAATACACACTTACATAAAACCAAGTGTAGCATCTACAAAGCTCCAGCTATGGATTACAGCAAAGTTCAAACCGGTAATTGCTAGGCAAGCTGCTGCGAATAGCGTCAAAACACCAATGGCACCGGTTGTAGTGGATTTTGAGCGTTGTGCGAAAACCAATATAACTGGTGCAATGAGCACCAACGGATATAGATTACGCATTGTTTCCAGAGCTAAGCATATAACACAAGGTAATAAATATCGTTGCACGAGAAAATAAAGCGTTAGTGCTAGCAGAAGATTGCTGAATACTGTCGATGTGAGACCAGCGCAACTGAGTAATGCTAACGGATTGAAGAGGTAAGCTAGTAATACACAATGCGGTATGACATCCATATCGGAAGCTTGCACCTGTAACTCCTCTGTGCCTACGGCAAACTCTAGTGCCTCCGCTTTTTGCTCAACAAGTTTCGTGCGTAAAAATTTTTGTGCCAACTTATATAGTAGCGTGGCTGTTACTAAATCGACTAGTACATAGAATAGTGGCACAAAGCTTGATATGGCACCAAAAATCCGTACAAGCAGCACTAGTATTATTGGCAGCTCATGTACGACATCCCCGATGTAGGGGTCTATGTCATTTTCATATAAATATATGCCCTCTTGTACTGTTTGTGTGAAATTTGAAATTGTTAATGAATATTAATTGCACTATTTTAAGCCGACAAACCTCGTTTGTAGGAGTTTATAGGCGTTGACACTTCAACTCTTTCACCAATCCACTGGAAGCTATGCAAGTAGTAGCGCGTTAGGCCACCAAGCGACACCAGCAGTAATAACCTTTTTTCCATATTTTCTTATAATATTTCGAAATTTATTTCTATGCACCGGTAAAATATTTTTTGAACACCAACTAAACAAACAAATTCTGACGAGCAAATTGCAATTGGTTTTTTATAAACATATGAAAATTATGGGTTGCCAAGGTTCAATATTTGAAATCTCGAAAAAAATTAAAATTCTGGATATTTACGAAGGCATATACAAATAATGTTCAAACATGATCTATTAACAATATCTTTGCAATACTAGAGTTTTCAATGTTTTTTAACTGCTTTCATATTTCTATAGAAATAAATATATTTTCCGGATGTTAGCTATCGGTTAAAACACCGGCTAATCACTCAACAGCGCTCACAAATATTTCTATTAAAGTTAAAGTCGCAATTGACAATTCTAAACGACACTCTTGTGTATGCGATCTTCATTTGTTTCTTATGTCAAGGCCTTATAAGTTGTACTGTTTATATGTATTTTTATTATTTCAATACACTAGTGTTTCGACAGCCGTGTTTTGATGGGTTATATTCCTATATTTATGCACATGTTATATTTCGGAGTCAGGCAACTCTTCACCCTTAGCTCATTGTGAATTCATCCTTAAGAAGAACAAGCATTATTTACATCGGTACCGATAGGATTTAGTGTAAATTATTTGCTAAAATATATTTAAATAAGAGAAAATTGAATGACATTACAAATAATGGGGACTGTTGAGAAAGATAACTTTCTCGATGAAACGCTTAACGAAATCACTACTGAATTCAAGAATATAACTGAAGATCCAACACAATTCCTACTTGTGTAAGTATTGCACGTGGTGCAACAAATATACAAAAGCAAAATACATTAAATTTTTATATTTTTAGTGTGCCTTCAAGAAAGCAGGAAGATATAAAAACGTTGATACAAAAAACGTATCAAGCTTGTGTACGGAACGATGAGAGTAGCAAGAATACGCTTGAAATACTGCCGGAGTTGGTTGTGGAGGACATGGATGAAGAACAAATTTGGCAACAGTTGGAGCTCCGCAACAATACAATACTAACAGCGTTAGTAGAAAATGCCTCAAAGTTATTGTCACTTAATGAAGAGAAACTGGAGGTGCGACTGGATGAGGATGATAATGAAGAAATAGAAGAGGAGTTAGAGCAAAGTGAAAGCGAAGCGAAAGATAATTCAGGATACGCCGATTTATTTAACGGTGAGGTCGATGATGAAAGCGATGAAGAACAAAAAGTCTTTCAAAAAAAGCAAGAATTCAAAAAGAAACGTAAGGGGCGTACATCCGTGGTAGATGATAAATTCTTTAAGTTGAGCGAGATGGAAGCATTTTTGGAGGACGAAGACGCTAAAGAGATGCGACGAAAAAATAAAAAAGGTGAGAATGCGTTGGATGCAACGGTAGACTATTTTGCGGATGATCTTGGTGTAGGCGATGAAGAGGAGGATGATGAAGACGCGAACCCAACATACCAAGACTTTTTCGATGAAGAAGATGAAGATGCCGACGAAAATATTGAAAAGCCAACCAAAAGGCAAAAGGATCATTTCAAAGAGGTACCAAGTGAGGATGATGAAGATATGAGTGTAGATGGAAATGACGAAGAAGAAGAAAATGCAGAAGATGATAATGAGGATGAAAATATGCAAAGTGAAGATGAAAATGCTGATAGTGATAACGAAGTGCAAACTAGCAATGAAGGTTTACAACCTGCCTCCTCAGGCTCTGATGATTCCGAAGATGAGGAGGATCATAAAGAACCAATGCCACAATCTTCATTCGAAATACGACAGGAGCGTTTGCAACAACGTATACGGGAGTATGAAGAGGAAGTGCTGGGTGAAAAACCATGGCAATTAAGAGGCGAAATACAAGCCACCAGCAGACCGGCGAATTCACTACTTGAGGAGCTATTGGAATTCGAATCAACCGTACGACCAGCGCCTGTCATAACTGAGCACACAACACGCTGCTTGGAAGATATCATCAAGCAACGCATCAAAGATCAAGCATGGGATGATCCACAGCCGAAATTAAAGCCGATACAAACACCACATGAATTCCGCAAACAATTGATATTGGATCAAGAGAAGTCTAAAGAATCGCTAGCGCAAGTCTACGAAAAAGAATATCAAAAAGAATTAGATAAATTCGACCCAACTCGTGCTGACGCTGGCGAGGAGGAACCGAAAGAGCACAAAGAAATAAAACAACTTATGCGTGCACTATTCGTTAAATTGGATGCTCTGTCGAACTTCCACTTCACACCGAAACCCGTGGCACCTGAGGCCAGAATCATCACGAACACACCGGCAGTCAATATGGAGGAAGTAGCGCCAGTAGCTGTTAGCGATGCTAAACTACTAGCGCCCGAAGAGGTCTACCGCGGACCGAAAAATGAGCTGGTCGGCAAAACAGAACGTAATCGTACGGATAAGAATCGGGAGCGCCGCAAGAAGAAGCAGAAGCAGCGTGTTATCAATCGTCTATTGGATGAAAAGAGCAAGAAGAAGCAGGAGTTGGGCATAGCGCCCACAAAGAAGGAGGAGAACGCCAAGCTGCTGAAGTCACTCACAAAGCATCGCAATGTCGAGAAGGTATTCATTCTTTACTTTACCACCAAATTCATTATGCACTAAATAGCTTGAAGAGCTGAGTATTAACGGCCAAGCACTGTCAACTCGGCACCGCTATAACAAAAACAACAACGAGCTGAAAAAATTTAGCCATATTCGTTTTTGTTGTTGTATTGTCAGCATTCTGTCGGGTTGACAGTACTCGTTGGTGATTACGTAGATCCGTCTGTGGTGGAAACGGCATTTCTTGTTTTCTTGTTATTTTAATAATTTTTTTCTCTCTTACAGTTAAACACCACCAGCGACGATCAGCGCGCATTGAAGTCTTCCAAGTCGTTCTTCTCCAAATTGCAGGAC